TCTCTCTCTCTCTCTCTCTCTCTCTCTCTCTCGCTCTCTCGCTCTCTCGCTCTCTCTCACACACACACACACACACACACACACACACACACACACACACACACACACAGCCATTTAATGCATGGGAGACTTGGTTCTTGTGTATTACTGGGCTGGAAAACTTAGACATCGTCCCTCCTCCTACTTCACAGCATATTGGTATACATGACTTCAAAATAGGTACCCTTGTTCTTCAGTTCACTTGATCTTCTTACAGTGAATGTGGTTCTTCAGAATAGTTCAATAATTCTTGGAAAGAACAGGAGAAAGTTAAACCTGTCTACTGATTCCATGGGCCAGACCAGGCACCCTGAGGGAGTCTGTACTGGGCTGTTTCTCCTGAGGGGATCTGTTCGCCAAGCTAGAACTCATGGAGCAAGCCTGTTTTTCAGCTCCTGAAAGGTAGAAGTAGATTTAGGAATTTTAGGCCAGCCTCAGATACATTGCAAGGTGAAGACTAGACTGGACTCTATGAATGTCTTGCATGTTCATGGAGAATATTTTCTCCTCTTCATTTCCAGCAACAGGGAACGCAGCAACACCATTTGGTGCATGAGTGGAGATGCTCTCTTCAAGTGCGAATTAACTGATAGAGTGGTTTCCCTGCCAAGGGGCCTTCGGGTTCTTCCGCTGTAGTTTTCTTTATGTCTGACAGTTTGAAGGTGCACTCTTTCATTGCGGGAAAGTCATGGAGGCAGGAACATGAGATACCTGGTCACATTGTGCCTGCAGTCAAGGAGCAGAAGACAGTAATACTTAAGGCAGAATATACTCAGCGAAAATATTGATTTGAGAGTTCATACCCGCAATGGACCTTACAGGGAGAACAGAGATATTGTGGCAGACTGGGAGCTTCCGAGAGAGATATGCAAAGGAACTTCCACACGGGAAGCACAGTTGCATAGTTTCTGTTCTGCTGTTCATCTGGGAAGTGGAAGAAATACCCCCATCCCCTGCCTTTTGTTGGCTTTTCGAGTACAGGGTTCCTCTGTATAGCCCTGGCTGTCCTGGAACTCGCTCTGGAGATCAGGCTGGCCTTGAACTCAGAGATCCCCCTGCCTCTGCCTCTGGAGTATTGGGATTAAAAGCGTGTGCCATCACTGGCGGCACCACCACCACCACCCAGCTGGAAACCCCTATTTTTAACTTACTCATAGTCACTATTATCTTTCCTTTTGTTCTCCTTAGAGTCTTGGCACCCAAGATGACTTTCCCCAGTCTGTCCTTGGGTGGCATTTCGTAGCCTCCATTCACCCTCCAGTCCTCTTCCGCATTCCTTAAAGTGCAGATCTTAGCTGTAGCTACTGCCTTTAGGCTTGGCTCTCTTCTGGTTTTAGTGCTGAATACCTGTTCACTCTCTGGGCTCTTGACCAGTCTCCTACATCCCTCTTCTTTGTTTGTCTTTCTGTGAGGGAGCCTGCAGTGATGTTCCTAGCTCTGCTTTCCTAGGCACCATTGAGACATTCGCCAGGATCCAGATATTTTTGGTGTCGAATTGAGCTTGTTCTGTGAGCTCCTTAGACAAGCTACCTGTATCTTCCCTGTCTGGTTGCTTTTTCTCTAGTCCTGTAATAAGTGTGGTGGTTTTTTGTTTGTTTGGGTTGGGTTTTGTTGTTGTTGTTGTTGGGGTGGGGGTGGGGGAGTAAAACTGGGCTTCTGCTTGCCTGGATCTTTGGAATCCCATCTTAGAGCCTGCCCTGCGTTTTAAGGCATATCATACATACTACCCTGCTTTTAACTTCTAAATATTCAAGTCCTTTGGTATACACAGAAGTAACCTACTAATCCAAAGATACACATTGAGGCACACAGGAAGGGCAAGAGCAGATCACAAGATTTTGCATTTGATGTCTAGTCTAGGCTCCTGAATGAAGGCGAGGGGGATAGTAGTGCCATGTGCCTTCAGTGTCCCAGGAAATCTGGGTTAGTTGCAAGGCAAAGTACCAGTGTTTCTTGGTTCTAGTAAGTAGCACAAGACTTAAGAGATGGAGAAATAGGGATAGGGAGGGCCCTACACATTGTTTTGTGCCTGATGAAGAGCACCATGGGGAAGGGCCAGCTGCCGACCAACAGCTGCTTGGAGATCTTGCAGCCTCTTCCCTGTTTTAGTGCTTGAGAAAAATGTGGCTGACCACTCCTTGTCTTGCACAGAGCCCAGGCTGAGTGCCAGCCTCAGATCTACTGATTTGGCAGCTGAACAAATCAGCCCTGAGTTGTGATCACCTGGCCCTGCAGTCCTGATTCAGTCCCACAACTGAATGTGAGATGCAAACTCCAATTTTCCTTCCCTCTAAAACAGAATGGAGGCCAGAGAAGATTGCTCAATGCATGCTGTGTACAGCTCCTCAGGCTCACACTGCCTCCCCACATAGGCCCAGAATGGGGGGTGTGGTGCAGTGCCTGGGTTGCTCCTTCCCCACTACCTCTCACCCAGTAGTGGAGAAGGGTGACCATGTTCTGGCTGTCTGGAAGTGGTAAGAGGATGACAGGCCCTGAGCTCTCTCTCTCGGCCTCTCCCCTGCTCTCTGGGCTAGTGAGCCTGCCTGCAATGCACATGAGAGGAGCCGGCCTTGACCGCCTCCTCAGCACCCTTAAGTGGGAAGTCTGACCTCTGCTGAGACATGCTGGGCATGGCAGCTGTAAGGTACCTCCTACATCTGCTTTCTGGCTGTGCTGACTTGGGATTTTTAACCTTATATATCTTTTTCCTTTATTCAAAACAAAACAATTTTTAGCACACTGAAAAAAAAAAAAAGCCAAATGTTTTGTGCCTTTCTAAGGCAGCGCTGTATCCCAGGCTGCATTTTAGGACTTAATATGGAAATACCAGAGTCTGAGCTCCTCTACCTTGAGTATCTTTAGCCCGAGAGTCTTGGGGACAAGGATGTCTGGCTGGAGAGGTGGCACATAGGTGCCTGTAGTCTCCTTCCTCTGCCACGAGGCTTCATTGGAAAAGAGCAGCATTTTCTCCTGGCATCACTTGGCTGGTCCCAGGCAGCCGTTAGTGTTCCTCTGTTCTAGATGCCCTGCTCATGAAGCCTCCTGGTAACAGTGCCCTGCCTAGTGGAGCTGAGAGGGACTCTCCCGGGAAGGGGAGATGGTTCATTTGTTGTCTTTTCATTTTGCTGGATCTGGAGCCAGCTTCAACCTCCTGCCTCTCCTCAGACGTGGCTTTCATTTGAAGGCTCCAACCTTAAAGCAGTAAGTGGCTGGTACCCTCCTCCAAAGGGTCTGCTTGCTCCCGGGGAGGGGCCGTGGGACCCGGAAGCCTTTCACTGATACTGTCGCAGGTTTCAACCCTAGGTTTCTTACCTCCCTTTCCCTGTTTCTCCCCTGCCTGTAGCTAACAAAGAGTGGGGGTAGAAATAGTTCTTAAGGTCCTCCTCATTCAAGATCTTAAAATTCTTGACTTGGGTGGGGCAAGAGAGAACTTTTCCCCAGAATAGAGTCCCAGTTTGTATATCAGTGTTAAGAGAACAAAACACACTTAGGTGAGATTCTCGTGGACTATTTTTTAAATGTCATTAATATAAAAAGATTTCTATTAGCAGTATTTAATCACTCTCCTATAAAGAGCAGACAGAGGTAAATACTCCTGCAGAGTAGTGGAGCTTTAAGACTCAATTCTCTCAAGTCCATGTTGTTTTGCCAGTGTACTGATGTGTAGAGGTCTGTTATACTAATTAGAGGTCTGTTATACTAATGTTATTTATTAATTTTTTTTCATTTCCATACAGTTAACTAAAGAGCTTTTTCAAGCACCCATGTCTGTAAAAAAAAAATATTTTTAAATAAAATTTCTTTTGTTGTAGCACACTTGAGTTCTGGCTCATCTGGGGCTAGGGGGTAATACACAGGGAGGGCAGATTTGAGACTAACAGCGGTGTGCAGGGGATGGGGAGGGGGTTGCTGCCAGTTAGCATTTAGCAGCATGCTGCTCAGCTCTGGATGCTCTAGAGGTAAAGGGACGACAGTCTTTTGAGAGCCTATCATCCATGATGAATGGAAAATGGCATCATGCTTTGGGGACAAATAACACTTTATTTTTCTAACATACATAACATATAAAAGGAAACATTTGCAAATTTACAGACAAAACCATATATATATATATAATGTGTATATGTATGTATGTATACACACACACACACTCTCACAGATGCACACATACCCCCAAAAACTCTTGCCAGGCCAAGTTTTCATTTCTAAGTACCATTCTCCCACTTGGACTCTTCAGATCTGGACCCATAAGCTCCCATGTAGAAATTTGGTACTAATAAACCTCTAAGCTTAATCCCTATAAACAGTAGACCTCCTCTCTGTCCCACTCTTGTCTTTCAGTCTCCCATTTCCCACCGAGGGAATGCAGGAAGCTTGGGCTCAGTAAGTAGTCTTCACTCCAAAACACACAAACAAACAGAACAGTGCTTCCTTACTCAGGGATATGTCTGAAGGATTACCACCAATCCATGACTTCTGCCCAAAGGAAAAATATCCCAAAAGACCCTGAAAGAGCAGCAGGCAGGAAAGTCCAGAAGCAGTGCTGCAGCTGCCTCTGGATGGTGGGGTTCTCTCAAGGACCAGTGTGAACAGTGTATGTGACCACATGCCCAGGTCCCGGATCACATGATACAACTAGCACAAAGACAGCCTGTGAGGAGAGAACACGGCTCAGAGAGCCCACTCAGCTGATGGCAGGAGATGGATCCGCAACCATTGGCTGTGTAAGGGAAAAAAATCCATTTGGGAAAAGGAAAAAAAAAAAAAATAGCCGGGCGGTGTGGTGCATGCCTTTAATCCCAGCACTCGGGAGGCAGAGCCAGGCAGATCTCTGTGAGTTCAAGGCCAGCCTGGTCTACAGAGTGAGATCCAGGACAGGCACCAAAAGCTACACAGAGAAACCCTGTCTCAAAAAATGAAAAAAAATAAAATAAAATAACCCCCCCCACTCCTGGGAGACTGAGGCCCCCAGTCACTTGGGATAAGCATCACTCAGTGGACACAAAGGAGGACTTGGGTCTCCAAAACCAGGCCTCTGTGGCCAAATGAGATCCTCCAAATGGCTCTTGTCCCATCTCTTGGCTCTCTGGACCTGGTCTGTAGGGAACCTGAGTAGGGGTCTTCCCTGCTGTCCCTCTGGAGGCTTTAGCTTGGGGTGAAGACTGAGCAGGGAGCAGGAAACTTTGGTGAGTCAGCTAATGCCTCAGATCGATGTATTTCTCTCCCTGAAAATGGGTAGAGAGAAGTAACCAGAACATGAAGAGCCGGCAGGTTCACAGCCTGAGCACCAGGAGGGAGGGAAGCAGAGCTGGTGAATCTGCAGCAGCCTTGAGGCGGCCAGCGGAAGTGGGAAGGGACGAGAAGAGACAGAAGTCCCCCAGCTGAGTCTGCAGTGGGAGAGACGCTACACTTTTAGAAAAAGGTAGGGTGGGGCTTGGCTCTGTCTCTCTCCAGGGTCCCTCCACCACTCGCCTTGGCCTGCCAGTCAGTGTCAGTAATAGAAGGCAGGATGGGCCTGCTCCCCACCTCTAACCAAGGAGGAAGGACAGAAAGTTAGTGTGTGCCAACAGGTACCATTAGCCCACTTCCCCCAGTTCCTGAGGGGGTGGGTCAGGCCCTGGCCTCAGGAGCTGCCTCCTACCTGGTCTCCTGGAGCCCTCTTGTCACCGCTGCCGCCCTGTAGGAGAGCCATCTCTTCTGGGAGCTTATCTGACTTAACTTCAACTACAAATTCACTCTTACGAGTCGGGGGCAGCGTGCTGGGAGGAGGGAGGTGAGAGGTTGGCAACCTGGGGCCAAGGGAAGGGGGGGAGGGCCTCGTGGGAGGGGTACTCGTGGACTCGGGGGGCCAGCTCAGGAAGGGAGGATTCAAGGAGGTGTGGTTGACGGACGGAAGCTGGGCAGTGGGCAGTAAAAAAAAAGGTCCAGTTTCTGCTCTCAAGGGGTAAGTGGGCACCAGGTCGGCAGGGGAGGTCCCTTAGGAGGTAGCAAGCTGGGCAGCCGAAAATGGGGAGGGGGGAGGGGCCATGAGCCCGGCTTACATCTCTTGTTTTCCTGAGCGTCCACACGGCAGTTTGCCCTTCTTGTAGAAGAAATAGAGGGTAGCGCCCAGTACAGCAAGGACCAAGATGCACACGATCACAGCCACAATGACCACACCTTTGCTCTCCGGCGGCGGCAGCTTTTTCTCTGTCCGACAAAGACACTTGTCGTCACTCCCTGCCCCAGGCTGCCACACTGCTGTCGCTGCCCCACCCTATCCAGCCCAGGGTGACAGACGGGCAGAATGGGCACCCTGGCACAGGCCTGGCTTACCTGTGGAGGTGCTGTTGGCTCTTGTGTGAGGACTAACTGTGGAGGTGCTGAGGCCAGTGGTTTGGCTGAAGTCAGGTGTGAGGGTGGTTAAAGTGACTAGGAGGCAGAGGGGAGGGGGGGGGTTAGTAGAAGCGCACGTTAATGCCCGCGCCTGGGCATGCCCCTGCGGTCCTCTGCAGGGAGGCAGTTCTCACCTAGCTTGAGGATGATAATGGTGGTATTTGAGCCCAGGGAGTTGGAGGCTGTACATTTTGCACCTGTCTCCAGCAGCTCTGGGGTCACAAGGACATTCAGGGTGCTCACTACTGTCTGTGGATCTGGGTTCCATTCCGTGGCCTGGAAGTAAATGGGCAGCTCAAAGAGTGGGAGGATCTCCGGCCGTGGCCTCAAAGCCTAGGCAGGGATTAAGGGAACGGGGAAGATAAACCACGCCTTCTCACCGAGCCATTGACACTCCAGGAGATGGTGGGCTGAGGATGTCCTGAAGCCTCACAAGACAGGTTCAGTGCTGCATTCTCGTGCGCCCACACCTTCCTCTCCTTTAATGCCATCCACGGGGGCCCTTGGGGGAGGAAAGGATTAGGCCCCCAGATACCCTGCTTCTACTTCCCACCACAGTTCCCAGGGTGCCAGCTGACTTTTTTGACCTCCAACAGCTCAAAAGCACCCAACTCTGGTGACCTGATCACTATACAAAGGGCCTCACCAAAAATGCCCACGCTGACCAGCTGTGTACGGTTCAAGCCAGGAACATTAGGAACGGATGCCATGCAGAGGTAACGGCCCCCTGCTTCCCGTTTCAAGTTGTTTAGCTGGAGAACAGGTCCCTTTCCCAGTCGCTGGCCTGTCTAGGGGTGAGACATGGGGTCAGGGGATCTGAGAAGAAGCAAGCTCTTGCCCACAGTCCCAAAGCATCCCGGTACCTTGTCTCTCAGCCACTCGAACTCAAGGTCCTGGTTACTCTCTGCCTCGCAGGTCAGTGTGAGGCTGTCGCCTTCCTGGGCTTCAGGGGCGGCTGGATTCACTCGGACATCAGACACATCTGGAGGCATAGCCAAAGTGTCAGCCTGGGCAGGACCACCAGTTCCCTCCTGCCCCAGGCTGAACCCACCCGAGTGCCTCACAGTTCACTAGCAGCTCCTGGAGGTCACTTGATAGGGTGACCATAGTTTCCAAGTCCAGGCTCTGACACTGGTAGAGGCCACTGTGTTGCTTCTGGGCGGGCTCCAGGAAGAGGATACCGTTTTCATCAGTGGCCTCCTCCTCCATCTCCCCAGTGCTGGAGTTCTGGGAGAGCACAAAAGGGCGAGGGTGAGCCGATGCCTCCAGCTGCCGGGTCGGCCTCTTTGCCTGTACCCTTGTGCACCTTCCACGCACCCAGCACGGAGCCCTCCGAACCTGCTTGTTGATAGTGAAGTGGGGCTGAGGGTTGCCGTCAGTCAGACATCGGATTTTCACATGATCTCCTTCCTTCAGCAGTCCCATGGGCTCTACCTCCACCCACACTTTTTCTGCAGGGTCTGTGCAGACAAAGTGGAAGGCTCTCAGCCCAAGAACTGGCCCTGAATTTGATGCAGAGGGACCAGCAGGTCCACCCCGCCAAACCAGAAGAGCTAGTCAACACTTACAGAAGACAGGGACGGTGACCTCCTTAGACTCCTTCATGCGGTTCCCACTGGGGAGCCGGTAGCTGAGTTCGCAGTAAAACCGGGCATCTTTGTCTTCCTTGACTAGCTGTGCGTTCAGAACACTCTGCAGGGTGTACAAGCCACTGGACTCCACGATCTGGGATGACTGGATCTGAACACCTGGGCAGGAGGGGAAGCAAGGCTTGCCCTCAGCACCCCCTCCCCGCAAGCCACTCCTGGGGATCAGCGGGGAGATCTCTCAGGGAGAGGCCCATGGCCAAATACGAACTGGTAACCCTGCCACCCAGCACTTTTACTGCTTGCTATCTACCCTACAAAGGCATTTGCACCTGAGCGCATACACAAGGATGTGCGCCAGGATCACCCCAGAGACCAAGGAAAATGGAGTCAGTCCAAAGGCTTCGTGGTAGAGCATGTTCTTAGCATGTGTAAGGCTTTAGGTTCAAGCCTCAGAATCCAAAACAGAAGTCCAAAGTGAAGAAAAATTGAGACATTAAGTGCTATCAGGAGAATGGTAACAACCGCATTATATTCAGTACGACAACAGGAAGCAAAATGGCTCCATCTGAACAGACTGGCCTGGAAACATTACAAAAAGGATGTGTTCCCAAATTACCACTAAGGTCAGGGCTTCTTCAGGCTCAGCACTATTGATGTTTTGGACCAGAATTAATTCTTTGTGGTGGGGCCACCTTGTGCATTTTAGGATGCTGAGCTATATTTTTTACCTCTACCTACCAGATGCCAATAGCAGCCTCTGTGTTTGTGACACCCACTAATGCCCCCAGACACTGCCAAGTATCCCCCAGACTGGTATGTATGCAAAAAATCACCCCTGGTTGAGACTGTAAAAAGCACAAGCCTTGCCAGGTGGTAGTGGCACACACCTTTAATCTCAGCACTCAGGAGGCAGAAGCTGGCAGATCTCTGTGAATTTAAGGCCAGCCTGGTCTACAAAGCGAGTTCCAGGACAGCCAGGACTGTTACACAGAGAAACTCTGTCTTGAAAAACCAAGCCAAACCAAAACCATACAAAATGTAAGCCTTGAGCCAGGAGTGGTGGTACATGCATAGAATCCCAGCACTTGGGAGACAGGTAGAGCATCACCAGTTTTAAAAGCCAGCCTGAGTTGCATGGGTTCCTGTTTCCACGTGAAAACCTCTACAATGTAGCAAACATTTGTTTGTGATAGACACAGAAATAGGAATGAAAGAAAGTAACAGTCACTTCTGGGTGGAGTTGACCAGAAAGAAATTCCTAGCTTGTTTATAGCCTAAATTTTATCCTTTAACAACTTTTTTTGTGCCGGGTGGTGGCGGCGCACGCGCATGACTTTAATCCCAGCACTTGGGAGGCAGAGCCAGACAGATCGAGGCTAGCCTGGTCTACAGAGCAAGATCCAGGACAGGCACCAAAACTACACAGAGAAACTCTGTCTTGGAAAAACAAAACAACAAAAAAACAACCTTTTTTTTTGGGGGGGGGGGGCTGGAGAGATGGCCCAGGGGTTAAGAGCACTGGCTGCTCTTTGAGAGGTCCTGAGTTCGAGTCCCAGCAACTATCTATAATAGGATCTGATGCCCTTTCTGGCATGCAGGTATACATTCAGAGGCACTCATACTAAAATACAAGTAAATAAGTACAGAATTTTTGTAACTATTTTTTATGTGCATTAACATTTTGCCTGAATGAGTGTATGTGTACTGCGTGCATGCCTTCTGCCCTTGGAGGTCAAAAGAAGCCATCAGATTCCCTGGAACTGGACTTGTGGGTGGTTGTGAGCTGTCATGTGGATGCTGAGAACTGGCCTGGGTCCTCTGCAGATGCAACCGGTGCTACTAACTGAGCCTACAGTCTGAATTATTCAACATCACCTGTATGGTTCTTTTGTTTGTTTCAATAAAATTTCTAAAAGAACATGCTAGGTGGTCCTCCAGAGCCTAAGTGGTAAGGGGCTACTCACGGTTCTCCTCCTCTTGCAGGGGCCGACCATTCTTGTACCAGATGACTTGAGGAATGGGGTACCCATTCCTCCCCACACAGGTAGCAACCTAAAGAGGACAGGATGGGAGTCTCCTTGCTTCTGACAACCCCCTCTGCCCCAGCTTAGCCCCTGTTCACCATCACTTGACCTACGGCATCTCACCTCCCTAAGCTCTTGCCTGTCCACGTGGATGCCCACGACATTGGCCTGGATGGTCGGCTCTTCTGGAGCTTCTACGACAGAAGGGAAATGAACAGAGACATGGAGACTCATCTTTACCTGGTCCACCCCACCCTGAAGGCAGGAATGAAAGGGCACTCACTGAAGACTTGAAGCTCAGTGTAGTGATCCAGGAGCCGTGGCCGCTTGCTCTTACACAGGAACATCCGCTCATCGTGGGGAGTGACTTGACTCAGGGCCAGAGTAGCCCCTGAGTCCTGGAGGCTAAGGCGGTGCTCATATTCCCCGGGTTCACTCTGGCCCTGGCCCTGGCGCACACGGAAAATGGGGATCTGCCTCTCCTTGTGAATCTGAGGGCAAGGAACAGAAGAGGTGAGCGACCCACCGGAGGGACAGCGCTTCCCACTTACTGCCGCCCACCCTTCAAAGCCCAGGCACTCACCAAAAACCAGTCCACATGGCTGAAGTTGCCAGAGGAATGCGAGGGGCCACACTTGAGAAGGGCTGTGCCGCCCACTTCCACCTCCACCGGTTCTGGTGTGGGTGCAGGCTGTTTTTCCTCTCCTGGCACACCTGGGCAGGGGGAAGAGCGTGCCCAGCAGCTTTGTCAGCTCCAGCTGCTCCATCCTGTCCTGTCCCCTCTCCTCTCCTGGCTCACTGCAGCTGTTGTACTCTAAGGGTCTGGAAAGGGCCCTGTCCTCTACCTTCAACGTCACCATACCCTCACCCCAACCTGGGTCAGATCTCTCCCAGTGGAATATGGACTGGAGCATAAAGTGACTGGGTACTCCTTAAAAGAAACTGGCGGAGAGTCCGATAAGGGGAACATGGGCTATGGGCCAAGAGGAAGGCCCCTTTGCTCCTGGGCCCCCTTCCTAGTCCTGGTGAGCTCAGACTATGAGAATGCAAGGCATGTGCCAGGCTGGGGCACAACAGGCTCCTTTGTGTCCCCACCTCCCCAGGGAAGACGTCACTATTCTACCCTCTGCCCCCCAAATCCTCCGGAAGACACGGTGGGCCAGCTCTGGCCAGAGGCTACCATTCATACTCCTGAAGTAGCATGTCAAGGAACATTGCAATACAATCTGAAGACCCCCATCCAAGTACAGAGGGGTCAGAATCTCCCCCAGGGGTTAGGTCAAGAACCAAAGAGTGGGCAGGAGTGACGTCAGCGGTGCCAGCACGCTGCCAGCCCTTTGAGAAGGTGATGTCACTGGACACAATCTGGCTGGACACTAGGATGCCTAGCTTGTGTGGCTTCCAGACTGGAGGGTGGTCTTCAACCAAGAGCAGGAACCTTGGAATCTGGTTTCTGAGAGCCAGCAGGGCAGAGTGAGGCTGGGTTTGCTGGCTGCAGCTGCCTAGCTGGCTTTAGCCCTTTCCCCAGAAATAAGGTCAGACTGGGAGGCACTAGACTGGAGTACCCCAGGGACAAGGCTGGCACTGGGCAAGAGGCCAGAGAAGTGGGTAATGCCCAGCCCTCCCCTTCCCCTGCCCGACCAGTGGCTGGGACGGGATAAGGAGCCAAGAATAACACGCGACACCGCTGCGGGCCATGCAAGGGAAGCCCGGACCTAGGAGCGCCCGTCTAGAGATAGCTAAAAAAAAAAAAAAAAAAAAAAAGCTCCGAGGTGCCCAGGCACTCTTCATCGGACTCTAGTCCTTAACAGAAGCTGTTTCTATTGTAGAACTTATCCACTCATCGTCTGTCCCCCGGTGATCCCGTCAAACCGGGAGGCACGAGGCGACCCACACCACCCGCCACTGCCCTTGCCAACGCCCAGCCGGAGCAGAAGCCACCGTCCCTCCTCCCTCGCTCACCTCCAAGCTGGCTTGAGGCCCAGGCGGAGGGGGAGGGGTCGGCGCCCCCCTCCGGCAAGGGAAACAGTCTTTTCCAGCAACAGGCGGGCACGGGATGCACGGGTTGGGGATGCGCCCCAGCCGCGCCTCTCTGCCCGGGGACCCAGAGCAAGCACCTGCGGGAGGCCGGCCCCAGAATCCTGCAGAGGCTCGGCCCCACCCCTTCCCTCTCGCCGCTGCAGCCTCCTGGCTGGGTCCGTTACCAGAATACTCTAGAACCTAGGCTGCAAACCCGCGGCAAAGAACTTGCACGCACGCGGGGCGCCTGGGAATCGGGGACTCAGACTAGAAGCGCCCGCCTGGGTGCAGAGCCTCAACCTTGCTGCCAGCTCTGATTTCCGGCACACTCCGGCTCCGTCGAAGACATCCCCCCCAACTCTCAACGTCTGGGCCCTGCGGGACCCGGGTCGGTCCCCGCCCCCCTCCCCACCCCCTACACACACACATACACACACATCTCACCCGTGGCGCGGCGACAGCAGCAGCAGGCGGCGAGCAAGAAGGCGCAGACCAGCCTGGGCAGCCCCATGCTTCCCCGACGGAGGGAGAGAGCCAAGTGAGGAGCTCGCGGCTGTCGGGGGCTGACGTCAGGGGGGCGGGGGAGGGGACCCCGGGCGCCGCCCGGCCCCGCCCCGCGCAGCCCCCCGCCCCCGCCCCGCGCCCTAGGGGGCGGGCCCGGGTGCGCCGGCTGGGAGCTGCGCCCCGATCCCGGCCTGGAGGCCAACTCCCGCTTCCCAGCCTCCTGGCTTGGAAAGGTTGAGGGAGCAATGACAGGTGTCCTGAGGCTCAAATGACTGGCCGAGGCGGCAGAAGAAGCTGGCCCGGTCGTCTTAGAGCCGTCCTGGATGCGGTAGCAGCGCTCACTCGGGTTTAGCCACTACCAGCGGGTGTAGCCCCGGGGACCCTCTGGCAGAGGAACAGGAGAGCGGTGTCCCTGATGGGGGCCTCCCGGTCAGGCTCCTCTGCCCTGCTTTGGAGACATGGAGCTGGCCCTGGTCGCCTTTTAGAACACCGCTTCACTGCGGCGGCTGCCGGCTTGGCACAGCTCCAGAGTCTCCGCTGTCCTGGCAGCCCTGGAAGAAGAACTGTGCCAGCTCCCACAGACCTAGAGGTGCCGTCAAGGGGGGCAGGGGAGTTGGAAACCGTGCCTTTTAAGTTGTTCTTTCATATTCAAGTTTCTGCAAGACCCTCTTACACTCGAGAAGGGAGGAAGGGGGCTGAATTCACAAGCCCACGGTCCACATCCAGGCCCAGATAATTCTGTTCCAACCCTCTTCATGCCTACCTACCTGGTCTCCAGCTCTGTTTCCCCTCACCTGAATGAGGAAAGGAAATGGATGTGGACATCCCTAGCTTGCCCCCCAGAAATCTATTGTATTAATAGAGGTGGAAGTCCTAGCTTTCTCCCAGAAACCTATTGTTCCTCCTAATGCTTGAGAGCTGACCCTGCCTACTGCTGGACCCAGCCCTGGGCTCTCTCACACGGCTGGTCTGGTCGTGGCTCAGCGGCTGGAGGAGTCAGATAGGGATCAGCTGCAGATCCCTGATAACGGTCTCCTACACAGCATGAGGCTACCTAGGGACCCTCCCCTGTCCAAACCCCAAGTTCTCCCTGAGTCTTCTGAACTCTCAAACTAAGACACAAAAAGACCCCAGCACCATAGCTTCAGGAAAGGTTTCACACCTGCTGGGACTCTCACCAGGGAGTCGGAGGGGTCTGGGTTTAGGGTAGTGGTCTGTGACCCTGCGGGCAGCAGCCTTCGAGGAGGGTGAGGCGGCAAACACCAGAAATGGCCAGGTGACTTGAGAGAATGCTCTGGGTTGCCTTCTGATGACTCAGATGACGGGCAAACCACATCAACCTCATCTTTCAGAGTCTCATTGACCCCTCCCCCCTGTCCATTAGTCTCCAGCCAGAGCCATGCCAAGCCGGCCAGGCTGCTGGCTTAGGCTCTTGAGGGGAGAGAGGAAGAGGGTCCTGCCTGCTCTACCCTCCAGAGTGAAGTGATGGACCCCGGCCCCTGGCTCAGAGCAAAATAGGAAGATAAACATGTTTCTCTGCAGAAATGGCTAAAGGATGTTGTTTCACGAGGCAGGCTAAGTGCTGCACCGCGCACACACACCCCCACACACGCTGTTTCTTCATTTAACATCATTAACTTATCATTCTCTTTTCTGGCAGCCTGGAAACAAAGCCAGCTAACCACCAAGGACAGTCAATTCTGAATTCTTCCTCTTCGATTGATGCCAGGTGGAGATTGAAGGAGTCATTTCTGCAGTGAAAGGGAAATAGGATTAGAGCCCAGGGTGACATCCCGTCCCTCCCGGGTGTACATACCAAATCAAACAAACATACTGTACTTTAAGAAACCTGGCCCCTGTGGCCAGACCATGCAGTAACAGGTTCTGAGAGATGAGTGGCCCAGTTTCTGTGTCTCCTTTCCTGTGAGGGGTTTGAAGACACCCACCGGTGGGTGTCTTAACATTTGCAAAGAAGAGCTCTGAAGACTGAGGGGGACAGGCATCCCTTCCCTGGATTCTGCACTAACCTGAGGGCAGGACGCCTCTGGTGGAATCTCCCCTAGGTTATTGGGACGGTGGCAATGCCTAGTGTGCCAACACCTTCACGCTCATCCGTGTCCAGTGCACAAACCCCTTTCTCATGCTTGCTCTGGACTCTGGGGTCACAGAGGATGACCTCTGTCTGAAGTTGGGCAGGTCCTGAGAACTTGATCTTTCTGGTGACATGGATGCCAGCAGCTGTTAGCTTATTGGAAAAAACAAAAAGCACAAGACCCCGAAACCGAAACATTTACGTGCCAGGTAGACAGCATTAGCTGACCAACCGGTGGCTACCCGAGCTGCAGTCAGCTACTCCCAGACTCCGAGCCTGAGTTCAAGAGTGGTTTGGACAACATTGGGAGGGCACACCCCACCTCCATCCCACAAGACATTTACTTAACACTTATCTTGCCTTACAAGTACCGGGTTTTATCAAAAAAGAGCCCAATAAGACATTTTTTTAAAGATTAAAAAAGAAAAAGAATAGTAATTCTTTTTAAAATGAAAAAAGAAGAAGAAGTGGTGGCCGCAGCTGCCCGGAGCCTCGGGCTGGCAGGGAAAGATCAGGGACACACAGTTTAGGGATGGTTTTTGTGAAGGGGGCATTTTGAAATTCCAAACCAAAGACGGGTCAGGACCCCGGAGAGGACTCAAAGAGCTAGGAATGAGAAGGGAGAGCGGAGAGCTCAGTGTGGGTGGATGCAGGGCCTTCAGCTGGTCTAAGACACCCGAGACCAGCTCATCAGGGAGTGAAACCAGATGAGAACAGAAGAGGAAGGTGAGAGGCCGTACACTGAGGCTGGGTGGGGAGTGGTCCCCATCCTATGTCCTGTCAGCTACCGACTCCCCATGCAGTTGGGGTTTTCCATTCCTTATTCAAGTGGGGAAGAGTTGGAGGTAAAAAGACAAGGATGCCCCACCTCCTTGCTGGGAAGGGTGGGCTGGGCCGAGGAAGGAAATGGATAAAGACATGCTTACAGCTGTGATGAGGAGATTGGGGGTAGGCAGCAATCTTGGCATCTGTAGAGGCTGGGGACCCCCCCCCAAGCCTGGCCAGAAAACAGGATCCAGGAGGGGTAGCAGGAGACTTTGCAGAATAGGGGGATCTGCTCTGGGAGGACACTGTGCTGAGGGAAAATCAGGGTGGGTGGATGGTGGGGGTCCAACTGCTGTTGAGGACATCATCAAGCCAGGAAACCGGATGCTGGGGGGTGGGGTGGAAGATGTGGGGGAAGAAATTGAATGGAGGGAAGCCGTCTCTACTCTGGCCGGACACGAAGTCTCACTCATGTCCTCCGCACCTGACCCAGGGCGGGAGGAAGGAGGTGCAGGCTGTTTTGGGGTGCACACCAACAGCAACATGGGAGGAGGTGGTGACTTTCGGGGGGGGGATGGGAGGAGCTATTTTTAAACTTGGAAAAACCGTGAGTTCATCTCCACCCTGGAGGCGGCAAAAGGCGCTATTGTGCAGGGGTCGGAGAAAGGGGAGGCACGGGAGGGGGAGGGGGGAGACACAAAGGGGAGGATTATGTTGGAGCAGGGTGGAGGAGGGGCGTCGGCGTCACAGCTGCCCTACCGAACCTTAGGGTTGCGCCGGACTCAGGCTAGGGTGGGGACTTCCACAGGCCCAAACCCCGCAGTTGGGGAGCTGGGGTCTGTAGCATCCGGTGGTTCATCCTGGGGAGGGGGCTGGATGGTGGGATTCCCACCGCCTGGCTTTCCCATGGACTGCTGGGTCCGTTCCCAGGATCCCAACATTCCAGGACTCCCCTGGGAGCTTCGGCCTCTTCTCTTGGCCCCTTCCTTGCGGTAGTGTTGGGGGGTGGGGAATAAATGTGAACGAATCAGGGGACTTCCTAGAGACTAGGAACCCTTAAAACCAACAAGGCGGTAGTGGCTGGGGTTTGTTGACAGAGGTCATGGCCCTTCCATCCTTGCTCCCAGCCCTTGTGAATACTTAGACCACAGTCTGGCCCTCTGGTCACCTCTGACCCTAGGGGTCTGGCCTCGGGCAGTCCACCTGCCCGCTGCTTCGCAGAACCTAGGGTCTCTCCTCTCACAGAAGGAGCCGAGGCGGGAAGGCGCTGCAGCAGCCCCGGGCTCCGAGGTCCTGCCCAGGGGGGATGCGGAGCGGGAGGCGGGGCATCCGGCCGTGCTCACCAACCCAAACATTACCAAAAATGCTCAGGCGGCTCGGTCGAGGTGGGAGGGGGACTATGGGATTCTCCGGAAACCCCGAATCCGGTCTCCGCGTCTTTCCCAGCGCGCCCGGTGATTCAGTCGGTCCGGTCACCCCTCTGCGAAGGGCGGGGGCAGATCCCGGGGGAGAAGGGTGCTGCGGTGTGGCTGTGCCCTGGGGTCCAGGGCCGAGTGGGACCCCGCGGGCGGGATTCTGCCCAGGCACCCGGGTCCCGGCGGCGGGCGCTCGGCAGCTCCGCGCGGCGCAAATCCTGTCCTAGTAGAGTCCTAGATCCGTAGCCTCTGGGCTCACACCCTCATCCCACTTCCCTGTCCCTAGCATAGTTCTGGAGAAAAAAGGAGGATACCGGGCCCCAGGCCGGATGCTGAGAGTTTATACCTACCCCCTCAGGGAGTTTCATATCCGCTCTCCCAAATACCACCACCCAGGGGGAGGAATGTCCCCAGAGGGCTGCTGCTTAAGTTTGACTTTGCATTGTCCCGGAGGCAAAGACCAGCTGGTCCACTGTTGGGGAGCTTATGGGAAATCGGGACACATCACGTCCTGGGTCTACTGGCCACTGTGTTCTCGGAAGGACATGGGTACACCCTCTTTCAGCCAGCTTCCAGAAAGGGACGGGATGGGGCTGGGATCTTAAGGTGAGAAGAAAGGAGACAGTCAAGGTCGACCTGCAGCCTTTCCAGACTACGTACCCTGATGGCTTGGGCCATCAAGGAACTCCAGATGTAGAGATCACGGGATTTGGATCCAGACTGGCTCAGAAGGTGCCGCTTCCCCTGCGTGCGCCTGTCCAGCTGGACGCAGTGAGGTCTCCAACACTCCAGCAGTTT